CAGTGAAACAGTGGTTGAGAGTTAGCAGCAGACGTCAGGGTGACAAGGGTGCGTCACAGTGGTCACACAACGCATGTCGTCACGTCCACAGCCAGAATTTCCTGACGTAACCACAGCACCGCATTACGCCCTTCTTCTTCTACCCTCTCCCCCTTACCCCTCACCCTCTCTCCCCCTCCTCCCCTACCCCTCTCTCCCCTACCCCTCTCCCTTTCTCCCTTCCCCCCTCCCCTTCCCCCCCTCACTTCCTTTGTTTACCTTTTGTCATTTGTTTCTGTTGCGTGTCTCCATTATGTGTATTACGTCTGTTATTTCCTCTTCGTCTGTTCACTTTTTTTTTCCTTTTCCATCCTAATATATTTTGTTTCTTCCCCCTTTTTATTTACCTTACGTTTATTTCCCCTATGTATTGTTTATTATCTATGTCATTTATCTATTTAGTGTCTCTACTTTATCATTCATCTTTATCAGAGTTTTGCTTTTATTTATGTTCTTTGTAGTTTTGTTTCTCACTGTTTACGTTTCATCATCAGTGTGTGTGTGTGTGTGTGTGTGTGTGTGTGTGTGTGTGTGTGTGTGTGTGTGTGTGTGTGTGTGTGTGTTTCCCTACCTAACGTAACCTAACCTAATAACAACCTGTTTCTTTACAATCATTTACTAACGGCTATTGTATCTTATTGGTGTTTGTTTATGCTATTACGTTTACACACACACACACACACACACACACACACACACACACACACACACACACACACACACACACACACACACAATTTGAATTTGATACAAGACAAAATTTAACTTAAAATCGAAGTATATTCTTTTAGTTGGGAGAAGGAGAGAAGGGGGGAGGGAGAGAGGGTAGTGGTGGGAGGGGGTTGGGAGTGGGGTGAGAGGGTAGTGGGTGGGAGTGGGGTTGGGAGTGGGAGAGAGAGGGGTAGTGGGTGGGAGTGGGGGTTGGGGAGTGAGGGTGGGTGGGAGGGGGGAGGGGAGGAGAGGGTAGTGGGTGGGAGTGAGAGAGGGTAGTGGGTGGGAGTGAGGTTGGGAGTGGGAGTGAGAGAGGGTAGTGGGTGGGAGTGGGGGTTGGGGTGGAGTGAGAGGGTAGTGGGTGGGGTGGGGTTGGGAGGGGGTGAGAGAGGGTAGTGGGTGGAGTGAGGGTTGGGAGGTTAGGGATTAGGAGTTAGGGGGTGAGGGGTGAGAGAAGGGAGGTAGGTGTAGGGGTGAAGGTCTCAACCATCAATTGATTAATATAGGTGGAAAAATTATACCTTCAAAGATATACCGAGAATATATCAGGATATATTCTACCTATGACAGTGGTGGGTGAGAGGTCTAACGCTGGCCTTGTGAAGTAGACACACACCTGGACCTGCTCACCCCCTCACCACCTGGCCTACACACCCCTCACTCACCTGGCCCTACTCACCCCCTCACACCTGGCCTTACTAACCCCACACACCCTGGCCCTACTCACCCCTCACACACCTGGCCCTACACACCCCCCTCACTCACCTGGCTTCTCACCCCCTCACACACCTGGCCTTACTAACCCCACACACCTGGCCCTACTCACCCCCTCACACACCTGGCCCCCACACCCCTCACTCACCTGGCCCTACTCATCCCTCACACACCTGGCCCTTCACCCCCTCACACCTGTCTACTCACCCCCCTCACACACCTGGCCTTACTAATCCCACACCCTGGCCTCCTCCTCACACCCCCCTGGCCCCCCATCCCCCCCTGTCTCAAGAGTTCTTCCATCATTGCCTCACGAAAACAAAAAACCTGTCACTATCATTATGTTTTGATTATAATATTCTGTTTGGTGTGTGTGTGTGTGTGTGTGTGTGTGTGTGTGTGTGTGTGTGTGTGTGTGTGTGTGTGTGTGTGTGTTCTTACAACCAGACAAAATACAAGTAAAATGCATTACGTAATTTGTCAGAGATCATTGTTAAGAACGAAGCAAATTGACTGTGTGTCCTTGTACACACACACACACCCACACACACACACTATTCTACCGTATTTCTTAGTGTGTGTGTTCTGTCCACGGTGGCGAAGCTATTATCACCTGTACACTGAGATGGCGAACAAGATGGCGAGTAAATTGCGTCGAAACTCAACTATAGGTACATATGTTATTGTCTATATACGAGGCCGACTACTGTGTGTGTGTGTGTGTGTGTGTGTGTGTGTGTGTGTGTGTAGCGCCATCTGTCCGCCTTCAGAAAATTACGCTGTTATCTCTGAAGTCGACGTCGTTCTGGTTCGCTAACAATTTATTATTTTTATTTTACATTATTAATTTTTTTTTTCAAGCGTTTCCAGAGCCAGAACTTTCACCGTGTGTGTGTTGCGTGTGTGTGTGTGTGTGTGCGTGTGCGTGTGTGTGTGTGTGTGTCCGTCCATTAAGTGAAGAAGGTATAACGGGAAGATTTTTTTGGGGGCGGTGGATCTGGAGGTGCGAGCTAGCGTGTTTGCTGTGGTAGTAGTGCTGGTAGTTGTGGTAATGGTGGTAGTAGTGTTCATAGTTATTCTAAAAATGTTGGTAGTAGTGGTAGTTCTGGTAATAGTTGTAGTGGATTGTTGTAGTGATTGTAGCGATGGTAGTTGTTATGGTAGTATCACCTGTGAGAGGAGGTTTAGAATAATGGTAGTCGTGATGTCTGGTTATGTAAGTGGTAGGGGGCGTTGGTAGTGGTGGTAGTAGTGGTAGATGGGAGTGATATGGGAAGTGGTCGGTGATGGTAATGGATAGTGGTAGTGATAACGTTATGTTAGGTGGATGTTGGTTGGCTATTATGCTAATGGTAAAGGTGTTTAGAGCGATGGTGGTAATGGTGGTTGCTGCCATGGTGGTAGTATATGAAGGAGTACTCACGGCTATGGTAGTGGTGGTAACGATTGTAGTAGTAACGATTGTGGTAGTGGTTATAGTAATGATCGTGGTAATAGTTGTAGTAACGATTGTGGTAGTAATGGTAATGAATGTGATTATAATGATTGAGGTAACGATTGTGATAGTAGTTGTAGTTTCGATTTTGATAATGGTTGTGATTAGGATTGTTGTTAGTGGTGGTTGTGGTAACCTAGTAAATATAACAAAGAACTGGTAGTAGCAGCAGTGGTTGTAGTTGTGGTAGTAATAGTGGTAGTAGTTGTGGTAGTAATAGTTGTAGTAGTGGTAATAGTGGTAGAATCTCCTCCAGTTAGGTAGCAGAAGTAACTGGTGAAGATGACAGGTTTGGAAGAACTGGTGGTCATGTAGGTGGTAACAGTCAGCAGTGTGTATTTGGCGGTCACATTGCAGGGTAGTTGTTGGCAGTGATGATAGCGGTGATGGTGGTTGGTGATGGTGGCAGGTGATGGTGGTTGGTGATGGTGGCAGGTGATGGTGGTTGGTGATGGTGGTTGGTGATGGTGGCAGGTGATGGTGGTTGGTGATGGTGGTTGTAGTGGAGGTAGCGAAGCGAGTAGAATGGCAGGCAGGGAAGAGGAGGCAGGAGGAGGAGGAGGAGGAATAGGAAGAGGAGGAAGGTGAGGAAAGAAAGAGGAAAGGGGAAAATGAGGAAATTGAAGTGGGTGGAAGGAGGAGGTGGAGAAATGGAAGGGGGAAATGGGAGGAGAGAAAGAGGAGGATGGGGTAGGAGGAAGGAGGAATAAAGAGAAATAGGAGGAGGAGGAAGAGAAGGGGAAGGAGGAGAGGAGAAGAACAGGAGGAAAAGAGGGAGGAGGGAAGAAGGGAGAAGAGGAGGGCAGGAGGCGTGGCCGTGGTGATACATCATGACTGTGGTTCCCCGCTCACCCCACACGACCGGATACACACACACACACACACACACCACCCATAGCGCCACCACCGCCCACCACCAGCTCCTCCCCCACCACCAGCTCCCTCCCCACACAACCCCCTCCCCCCTCTCAGTGTCGAATGTCCTCATCTTAACCCCCCTTCAGGTTCACCCCCTTCTCTCTTTCTCTCCACCTCTCCATTCCCCTACTTTCTTCCCATCTTCCCTTCTCCATTCTTCCTCTCCCTTACCCTCTTATATCCCCTCCCCCCTCTCTATCCCCCTCCTCTCCCTCCCTCTTCCCTCCTACATCCCCTCCTCCATTCCTGTAGTCCGGATACTGCCAGTTTTGACATCACAGAAAATTTCAAGTTTATTGCATCTGATACAGGAAATTACCTCCCCTGGGGGCCCTGTACGTCCTACAGGGGGTCCTTCCGGTCCACTGTAAACCTCCTGTATCTAACATCCTTCAGGAGATACAGCACCTTCAGGAGTGGTTAAACACAGACCGTAAATTTTTTTTTGGGGGGAATGGCGTCGTGGTGGTGGGCAGTGGTCGCCAACCCTCAGATGTAAGTGTTGGGGACATTGGTTGATTGGTGTAGTTTGGGGTTATTTTTTTTATGGTCATCGTCGTTGTTATCTGTGTCCAAATGTCCTAATTGTCATGTTAATTAGACTACTGTGATGGTATTCTATGTCCGAATTTTTATTACATTGTGAGTTTAGTATATACGGACCTTGCTATATACGGACGTTAGTATATACGGACCTTGATATATACGGATGTTAGTATATACGGACCTTGATATATACGGACCTCGATATATACGGACCTTGATATATACGAACCTTGATATATACGGACCTTAGTATACAAGCTCCTCAGTATATACGGACCTTGATATACACAGACCTTAGAATATACGAACCTTAACAATATACGAACCTTAACAATTTACGAACCTTAGTAATATACGAACCTTAGTAATATACGAACCTTAGTAATATACGAACCTTAGTAATATACGAACATATATATACGAACCTTAGCAATATACAAACCTTAACAATATACGAAACTTTGTATACACGAACCTTAACAATATACGAACCTTAGCATAAACGACACAATTTCCCTATCGACAAGAGACCATCAGATTCCCCATGTAACTCAGTGCCTTGATTTCTTCCTTACAGAAAAACCAGAAGACGAGGGTTCTGTCAGAGTGGGTGGTAAAGGCAAGAAGATGCGGAAACCCCGGACCATCTACTCTTCCTTACAACTACAGCAGCTTAACAAGATATTCCAGAGGACGCAGTACCTATCCCTGCCCGAGCGCGCTAGGTTGGCCGCCAAGCTCGGTCTCACACAAACTCAGGTAAATTAATTGGCTTTTTTCTTCTTGTTTTTTTTATGCTGAAGGAGTTTTTTTGGTTTTGTTTGGGTTTTTAGTTGGAATTGTTTTTATTTTTTAATGTTTTTTTACGCTGTTTTTTTTTTCATTTTAAAATGGGATTTATTTTTATTTTTATTTATTTTTTATGTTTTGTTTACTTTTTCAAGTTAGATAATGAAGATAACGAAATTATTTTAGTTTTAAAGAGATAAATAATATTTTAAAAGTTTATTGAATATAATTTTCAAGTTTGTCACGAAAATTAAGAGAGAGAAAATGAAGTAATTTTAAAGTATATTGAACATTATTCACGTATTGAAGAATGGATAAATAAGGCAAGAATGAATAAATAAGGGAAGAATGAATAGATAAAGGAAAATAAATAAATAAGGGAAAAATGAATAAAGGAAAAATAAATAAATGAAGAAAAATAAATAAATAAGGTAAGAATGAATAAATAAATGAAAAATGAATAAATTAGGGAATTTAAAGAAGCGATATATAACATATTTACACTTAAATATACCCTGACTGTGTAGTGCTTCGCCTCCACACCTCAACCAGATGTTACGACACATGTAAACACTGAGATTAATGCCGGATATAAACGCACATATGGTAATGAACAAACACACACACACACACACACACACACACACACACACACACACACACACGTACACAAGACGGGGCTAACATATACAGTACATACAGTATATCCACACTTGTCATGTGTATTAAGATGCAAATACACACAGATCGTTTACATGCATACACAAATATACAACTTTTCTCTAAGGCGGACAAATATACAGACATTTATACCGTTATATATGTATATTAGCCAAATAAACAGATGTATTTATATAAAAACTAACCATACATACACAATATATACATACGCATACTTGCCATGAAATTTAACAGACAGACAGACAGACAGAGGGAATATACAGATTGACTGAGGGTATATTTAGAGCCATTAACAGTATATCAAGCAGTATACTCTCAAGGTAAAATAGGGAGAGTATACATAGTGGTGACGGGAACCCCTATTATACACATCTGGTGCTAATGACCTCACCTGACCTGGCCGCGTGACGTCATGGAGTGGATATCAACATTAATGACGTCATATAGACAGATGCTAGTATTGGTGACGTCAGAGTGATATTTAAATGGCTGTTAAAATTGATGACGTCAGGGCTCATCACCCACTAGTACTTCTCAAGGCTAAGTGATTTCTCAACACCATATTAGGCGACCTCAGGCCCTCCAGTGGTCGGCCTCCAGCCTGAGGTCAACTGAGGTAAAATATTTAGAGGTTATATTTTAAATGGTTATTGGCGTAAATGGTTAATGGTTTAATTGTTAATAGTTTAAATGGTCAAGATCTAAAGGCTCTGAGTTGGAGAAAAGGGAAAAAGATCTCTCAGTGAATTAGTCAGTTAGTTAATGCGTTTATAAGACTGGCTAATCCCCTGTAAGACAACAAGTATGAATGGGTATTGGTGATTGGAGAATAATTACTCCCTCAGTTGTAACATACATTCATTATTTAGGTCAGTACAGACGGGTATTTTAGCTGAATATAACTCAGCTATAGACAGAGACTAAAACAGCTAAAAGGAAAAGTGTGTTATTGTACATCATCAAAAAGCTAAGACGACAGCTAAAAATATTTAGATGGTCTCTTATATTATCTAAGACATAAAAAAATAAGAAAACGCGCCAGATGAGCTAAAGAAAAGGTCAGATGAGCTAAAAAAAGAAAATAAAAACGCCAGATGAGCTAAAAAAGGTCAGATGAGCTGAGAAAAGGTCGGATGAGCTAAAAAATAAAAGGTCAGATGAGCTAAAAAAATAAAAGGTCAGATGAGCTAAAAAAGGTCAGATGAACTAAAAAAAATAAAAGGTCAGATGAGCTAAAAAAAAACTCCAGAGCTAAAAAAAACTGTCTCTTAATTAACTAGTTCATTAAGGCCTATCCATCAAATTCTCCTGGGGGCATGAAAGAGCTATATTCTGTGGGTCATTTAGTCGCTTACCTTGCCCTGTAATTATAAGGGGTCTTTAAGGGACGAGTGGGTCTTTAAGGACTGAGGGGTCTTTAAAGGCTGAGAGGTCTTTAAGGGCTGAGAGGTCTTTAGGGACGCTGGTCTTTTACGGACGAGGGGTCTTTAAGGGACGAGTGGGTCTTTAAGGGACGAGTGGGTCTTTAAGGACTGAGGGGTCTTTAAGGACTGAGGGGTCTTTAAGGGCTGAGGGGTCTTTAAGGGCTGAAGGGTCTTTAAGGACTGAGGGGTCTTTAAGGGCTGAAGGGTCTTTAAGGGCTGAGAGGTCTTTAAGGGCTGAGAGGTCTTTAAGGCTGAGAGGTCTTTAAGGGCTGAGAGGTCTTTAGGGACGCTGGTCTTTTTACGGGGGTCTTTTAGGGACAAGGGGTCTTTAAGGGAGTACCTGCGTGTTTCTTGTCAGAGCTTTACCCTGAATCAATTTGCGCTTGAGTGAAGGTCTTCTACTTCTCACTCCATCTGGCTGGTACAAGGGGAGGGGAGTGTTTCTTGGGGTGTTGCTTATTGTGGGTGGCCGTGGGTTATGTGTTTATGGGCGTGGGATGATGTTGATGGGCGTGGGTTTGGTGTTGATGGGCGTGGGTTGGTGTAGATAGGCGTGGGTTTGATGTTGATGGGCGTGGGTTGGTGTAGATAGGCGTGGGTTTGATGTTGATGGGCGTGGGTTTGATGTTGATGGGCATGGGTTTGGTGTTGATGGGCGTGGGTTTGATGTTGATGGGCATGGGTTTGGTGTTGATGGGCGTGGGTTATATGAACGAGAGTGGAGCTTACACGTCGTTGGTAGCTGTGAAGTGCTGGATGGAAGCCGTGGGTGACAGCGAGTGGGTGGCACAGTGTGGGCGGTAGTGAATGGACGACCTGGGGTGGGCGGCAGCGGCTGAGTAATACATAGTGGGCGGTAGCGAGTGGGCGGCTCAGTGTGGGCGTGTGGCGTCAGGCTAAGACAAACGGGTAATCAATATTGGCCTGTGGAGTATACAGAGGGTGTAGCGCCCTCACACCCAACATACACCACCTACACTTACACCCAAAACCTACACCACACACACACACACACCAGCATACACCTACACACACATACACCTACACAAACACACCTACAGTACACATACACCTAAACACACTACCTACACAAACACACCCAACACCTACACAAACACTTACACAAACACTCACACCCTGTCCCCTCTCTCCACTTTGTTATTGTACAAACGTAAGTGTGTCATTTTCAGTAAGAGAATGACTGTTCACTCACGCTAGTACGACCTGTTTAACACCTCCTCCTCCCCCCTCCCCCTCCCCCCCCCTCTCTCTCTCTCATGTACCACAAATCATCCTAATTTCTGTCTCATCTCCGTGTCCTTCGTCCTTCTTTCAGTCTAAAACCCAAACAGGTAGAGTCATCCAGATATTGTTTACCTGATGAGGAAGAGGTTACCGTGAGAGTCAAGCGAGTGACTGGTAGTATCACCTCAGCAGGCCCCAGAAGTCAAATGAGTGGTTAGTCTTGGGAGGTTCTTCTCATCTATACCACCTACCTACACTACCTACCTACTACCTACCTACACTACCTCCACCCCTACCCCTACCTACCTGCCTACCTACCTACCACCTACCTACCTACCTACCTACCTACCTACTACCTACCTACCTACCTACCTACCTTGCCTAAATTAGCTAATGCTGCAAATACTCGTATTCCCCTCTCTCCTCCTCCTCTCTCCTCCTCCTTCTCACCTCCTCCTCTCTCCTCCTCCTCTCTCCTCTCTCCTCCTCCTTACTCCCCTCCTCCTCCTCCTCCTCCTCTCTCTCCTCCTCCTCCTCCTCCTCCTCCTCCTCCTCCTCACTCCTCCTCCTCTCCTCCTCTCTCCTCCTCCTTACTCCCCTCACCCCCACCTTTACCAAAACACTGGATTAGTCATCTTTAGTATACACTCAGTCCCTATCCCCCACCTACCGTCTCCTCCCCTCACCCCATCTACCTCCCACCCACCCCTCCCCTCCCTCCTTAATATCCTGAATTAGTCATCTTTGGTGGTACACTAACCTAACCTAACCCCTCTAACCCCTCCTCTCTCCTTCCTAGAGCTCGTGTCAGGAGGAGGAGAAGCCATCTGATTACTGGTGTGTAGGAGGGACAGAAGGAGAGAGAGAGAGAAGAGCAACTTGCTTGCATGATTGCCCCCCCTCACCGTCTCATCAACAAGGGACCCGGTCGAGCTCTTTGAGAAATAATAAAAAGTTTAATTTCAGCTAAAAGCAAAACCCTTTACGTCGACCACTGGTAACCTCAGCTACACAGATTTATTTTTCTTCAACCTCCCGACATTTTGTAACTAGTTCTGCTAAAAGAGGATCCTGTTCCGTAGGTTTAAATTAGTGGAATGAATGATGAGAGAGTTTGGAGGAGGGAAGGAAGGGAGGCGAAATGTTTCTGATTTAATTTCGTGATGATCTGGAGTTCTGAAAGATGTCCAGGTTGCATGTTGCAGGGTGAGGGTGTGTTGTGAGGGAGGAGGAGGAGGAGGAGGGATCGTTTGGTGGTGCTTCTGTGTATTACTCATCGTCTGGTTCTTTATTGCGTCTCTCTTCTCTTTCTTTCCTTCTCTCTTACATAACTCTCTCTCTCTCTCTCTCTCTCTCTCTCTCCTCTCTCCTCCCCTCTCTCAAACACTGGCATTAACTGACTCGATCTTGGCTATTTTTTGGCTTGGCTAATTTTTTTTTAGCTTGGCTATTTTTTTTGGTTAATTTCAGAAGAAAAAATAAATTCAACTCGATTAAAAAAAAATAAATACAAATTCATAGTCACAAGATTTATATACCGAGAATATATATAGATTTAGATTCCAATTAATTTTTATTTTTATTAAAATTTTTTTACGTACCCAGTGACCGGAAATATTTTTAAAAACCATTTTAATTTTACAACAATTATAAGATTAGTTGACTATTGAAGGAAAAAGTATATGACAGGGTAGATTTGATTCTATCTATCTATCTATCTATCTATCTATCTATCTATCTATCTATCTGTGTGTCTGTCTGTCTGTCTGTCACGTTTATAAATACAAACAAATACTTCAATAAATAAATTAAAGCTAAAATATAATACTTGTCTACGCTATTGTTTATGATAATCAGCTGACGACCAAAACAAGACAACATTTCACTAGTACATATATTTCGCGATAGGATTCCCCCACGCGAACTTGAAACCCCCATCAAATTATCTAACAAATACAGGTGTTATGATGAGGCAGGTGAGTCATGTTAATTATGTTGTTATTCTTTAGGGATTAATTATATTTTGTTTGTTTGCTTGGGGCATGTTTGTGTTGAGGTTAAATTCGGCCTTTTTGGACCTGACTGATGTGTTATCTAACCTAACTTAACCTAACCAAACCAAACCTAACCTAGCAAACCTAACCTAACCTAACCTAACCTAACCTAACCAAACCAGACATTTACAATAACAATCAAATATCTTGTTATCAAAAATATCTCTATCGACAGGTGTAAAAAGTAATCAGGTGTTATCGACTCTACCTGTTGGGAATCTGAAAGAACAGGATGAACAAGTGAACAAGAACTCATTCGTTTCAGTTACTTAGGAGAAAATGTTCATTAGTATTGTTCTTCTGTTTTTCTTCATGTTCAATGGTGTTCAACTCCTTTAAAAAAGACATTAATTACGTACCATGATTAAGGATCTCGAGGGCAGGTGACAGGTGAGAAGGAGGTGTTTCGGGGGCCTATTGGAAGTCTTTGCACCTTTACACACGTCAGGTTACGTTAGGTTACGTTAGGTTACGTTAGGTTACGTTAGGTTAGGTTAGGTTAGAGTTACGCTAGGTTACGTTAGGTTAGGTTAGGTGTTATGGAGGATCGTTAACCTAAAGTGTGTTGTAGACTATAGATGATCTTATGAATTATTGATAATAGATTTAAAAATATTATCTTTAGAAATTATTGGTAATTAAAGACATATATTTCATTCCGAATTAGTCAGAATCATAAGGATATATATTCACAAGTATTTTCTCCTCTCTGTGAATCATCACTACATGTATGCCGAAATATATCGAAGTATATTGACTCGTTGTCAATAATCACTGGTTATAAAAAGATTATTCTAGTCTAACTTATCGGGAACTGTAACGAACTATACTCTGTCATAAAATAGACAACGTTATACTGAAACATATTCCGTCCCAATAAATCACATAACGA